TCCTTCGAGACAGACACGAATCCCGGAGCACTTAGCGTGGTCGGTGTCGGCATCGGCGCGCTCACGATGGTCGGCGGGCAAGCGATCGGTGTTCGCGGCCTCATCGAGGGTGCTGTGCGTCTCAACGACTTTTTCGGGAACGAGACAGCGCGCAAGTGGGCGCTACCGGTCATCGGCGCAGTCACCATCGGCGCCGCTGTCTATGTCGTTCTCGAACTCCCCAGCTCGATTCCGCGTACCGTGGGCCGGCGCATCAAGGCTTCGGTCGAGGTTGCGGAGGATGACGAGAAGCGATGGGAGGTGGAGCACGGGGTGCGCATCGGCCGCGAGACCCGCAAGGTTTTGCGGCTTGCATCCTGGGACTTGCGCGAGCGATTCCGCGGCGCAATGGAGGAGCGGGCTAAGGAGGTCAAGAACGCGGAGGATGGCGAAAAGCGCGCATTGAAAGCCCAAGACTGGTTTGCAGGTGTAGGGGATCGCGTCGTGGAGGTCCGAGTACAGGCCCGGTTAGGCGAAGAGTCTGCGATTTGAGGAGGTCCGCCAACGAAGGACCCATCTCACTATGCCTCTCTTTTTTATTTCTTCGTTTCCTCTCTTATTAATGTCCCCCATCTCACTTGAATTGCTTGACGGAGTCGCCTTGCAATACTTGCCTCACGTCCACACGTTCTTTAATTTTCGCCTCATGACCCAAATACAGACCTACGTGGTCATTGACGACATGTCTACTATACACTACTGTATGTACGAGCTCAAAGATGAATACATCTCTGTCAGCTATTTGTGACTTTTCGGTGAACTCGGGCGTGTCTCGTCAACTGGTCTGCCCGGGCGAAAGATTTGTTGCAGTCCGGTTCGGCACATGTGTAGGGCTTGGCGCCGGTATGAGTTCGAAGCTAAGCGCAGACTTATGAGAGAGAACGGGGCGATAGCATATACGCTACACATACATGCTTCGACAGGTTGGATGACTCAGAAAAAGCTCTGTAAATGAAGATGATTAATCATGCAAGCACGTCGAAATCAATTTGCACCTACTTATCGCAATGGGGGCATTTGAATGGTCGGTCGCCGTTGTGTGTCCGTTTGTGTATGGTAAGGGCGCCGGTGATAGCAAAGGATTTTCCGCAGCCGGGATAGTCGCATAGATATGGCTCTGATAACATGCTAAGTGACATTTTTTAGTGGCGGGAAATTTTACCAACTTTCGAGGGTGTGTCGCCGCATGTGCTGTTGCAAGGTGGCTGCCTCGGAGAAGTTCTGCAGACAGACACTGCATTGGAATGGCCGGTGGCCCGTGTGCGACTAGACACAAGCTGTGAGCTATGTGGGAAGAAATCAAATCCAGACGGACCTGTAGATGTCTGCATAGCTTCTGTTTACTGGCGAAGCCAGTTTGCCCATTCCGAGGGCAATCTTGCCAGTAACAGTCATAAGATGTCTTTCCCGCTCCAACATGAACAGTTGTAAGATGCGATGTGAGTTCATCTAGAGAGCTGAAGCGTTGCCCACATGCGACCCATTGGCAAATATGCTCCGCTTGGGTTTTGTCCTCTGAAAGCGGCAACAACGGTACAGCGGGCTTTTCGGGAAGATCTAATTCGACGGGATGTGATCCATGGCGAGGTGCTTCAGGCGATGGCGTGTTATGCGAGTAGTTCGGAGGGCTAGTCAGCCCGAGATGATCGTGCAAGAGATGGGAATGTAGAACGCCCAGAATCGAGTCAATGTCTCCGGAGGAGGGACCTGGAACTGAATCAGGAGTGGGATAGATGTTGCAGTCTTTCCATTGGCATGACATCGCTGAAAAGTCCCGTGCATTGGGTGAAGAGGGGAGCGAGGGCGACGATGAATAGCAGAGATGCACCAGATTGACATGCTCAACCAGTTGAGAAAGCGACGAGAACGAGGCGCTGCAGTCACCCCACATGCAAGGCAGGATGAAGGGAGAATTGTCTGGGACTGGTTCAGTACCAGGAGAAGGAGTGGAGGCCACATCCGCCGAGACTGGGAAATCTTTATCGAAGAGTGCTGGGGGCAAGTCCGAGTTATCTGCGCCGCATGGGATGCTGTCTAAGGTACTTCCCCCTCCGCAGGTGCACACGAACGTTTTCAGGGCGGGGTCCCACGACCACGTTGGTTCCGGATGATTTACTCTAGCTGGCTCCCCGTTTCTGGGCTCCTCATAGTATGAATGGAAGTCTGTACAACAGGACAACTGCGAGGGTGCAGTGTCAGCAAGCAGTCTGGAACTCGTTTGAAAACAAGAGGCGTACAAACTCGTCGAAACCATTACAATCCTTGCAATCCGCACTCTCACAATCCAGATCGCAGTGATCCCCAGGACACGGCGCATCGCACCAAGCGGGAGTGTGGTCACCAGTGCAAGCCACGACGACGCACTGGTCTGTGCATTGGGGGGTCATGGCAGGTGTTGTGTGGCAATCAGTACAGAGGGCCTTGGGGTTTCCCAGGTCGGGCAGCATTGCGAGAATAGTTTGGTGAGTGCACGAAGACTGCGAGGGTGCCTGTGCTGCAGTGCACAATCTGCCGCGAGGGTACTCTCGCTGCGGCCCGGGTCACATGCCCGAGGGTCATCACTGGACCAACCATAGCCAACCATCGACAATGCGGTCGAACGTCGTCGTGCTTTCATTGTTGAACGAACGCAACCTCTATGATCTGTACGCCCAGCTTCTCGACTCCATCCGCTCGGTTGCAACTGTCCATTTCGTCGAATCGAAAGCCGCATTCGGGAGTGCCCTCAAAATCACAAAACCGTCTGCTGTCTTGGCAATCGACGGTGCAATCACAAAGGAGGTCAACGCGGACGTTCTTCAGCAACTGATCCAGTTCACAAAGGGCGGCGGAATCGTCGTTTGTTGTTGCAACTTCAGCAATGGTTTGAACTACCGCGCGGGCTCCGAATATTTCTCGCGATGGGGTTTACCGTGGGACGCGGGCTCGTATTTTCGGACCACTGTCCACTTACACGCTCTCAAATCCGTTCCCGGCTTGTCTTTCGAAGGTCTTTCCCCGTCGTACAGCCTCAAATCACTCTCTCTAGTCCATGTCCGACCCGAACACGCTGTCTACAACCCATCCTCGTCCTCATTGGTCGAATCTCATGTTTTCGAGGCCGACAAGCTCCCCGTCGATCCAGCAGAGTCTCCTTGCACATACGCAGCTGTTGGCCAAGGCTATCTCGGCTACATCGGTGATGTCAATGGCGAGGAGGACAGTACGAGAACTATTCTCGCCATGATCCACCTATCCCCAGCAGCTCTCCTGCCGTCTACTTCGGAACGTTTGACAGGCCTAAAGCCCTTGCCTAATGGTGAATACGAACCGACAACCCAAAGCAGTGATCCCGATTCGCTCGTTATGTTTTCGGACGCCATTCGCAAAGCCGGGGATGATTTCATGTATGTTGATTGCCGGATGGGAAGAGCTGGAGAAAGCCTTCCACGGCCTGTCTCGGGCACCCGCCCTCCTCCAGGCCCTGCCTTTGCTTCTGCCCGACCACCCCGTCGTAGCCGCGAATCGGAGGTTGAAAAGAGGGCTGTAAAACGCGCAGAAAATTCCACGACAAAGAAAGAAAAGGCCGAGGCCCTCAAAGAACTAGTAAGTCTAATTCCTGCGACAATGGGATCCAGCTGAACATCGCAGGGCAATGCCCGCTTCCGACAAGGGGACAACCTCGGCGCAGTCTCATTTTACAAGCAGGCCGTTGCTGTTCGCGGGCCACAGCCGACGTATCTCGCCAACCTCGCAGCCGCCTATCTCAAATTGGACATGTAAGGCTAGCCATGTCAATCGATCGAGACTGACTGACTAACCGGTCCCAAGGTATCGAGAAGCTGAAGAAGCCTGTGAAGAGGCCCTCAAGCAGGATCCTAGACATCTCAAAGCTCGCTTCCGGCGAGGTACCGCGAGGCTGAACATGCTATGTTTCAAGGACGCGATGAAAGGTCTCCCACCCGTGCTCTCGACTTTCTCCAACATTCTCACTATGTCCAGACTTCAAGGCATGCGCCAAACTCGTTTCCAACGATCCTCAGGTTGCGGCTGCCATAATTGACACACGGCAAGAGTTTGCCAAGCTTAAAGCTGATGGTTACGAAGACCAATGGGCCGACTCGGGCGGCCAAGACTTATCCTGCGAAGACTCCGAAGAGGAGGACGGCGACATGGGCGAGTTTGAATTTTTTGAGCCCGGGTTCGACGAGAAACCTGTCGAGATCTTCTCTGACAGCGACTCGAGTGACTTTGAACACGTTGGAAATGGTGTTCCTTGCCGTTTCTACAACCACGATGGATGTGCGAAAGGTAACCAATGCCGGTTCAAACACGCGCCACATCCGCATACGACACGGGACGAGCTGTATTCTAGTTCCATCCTATTTCTTTCAAATACTGACGTCCGTGTAGAGGTCGCAACGTTTGCAACTTTTGGCTTTTGGATGGCTGTCGTTTTGGGGACCGTTGCGTGTTTACTCATTCGAAGGAATATCTTCCAGAGACTGGCTGGTGGGCGAGCGACGATTTGAGTATGATGAAAGACATCATGAATGATGTAAATCGCATGCGTGGATTTATCTAGGCTTGATATGCAATCCCCACTCTCTAGATCTGCACATCGAAATTTGGAAGGTGCACAAGTATTATGCTTCTTTGTGCTCGGCTCCACCAACTTCCCGCCGCAATCGTCAAGAGAAGCGTCCCCACATTAGTTTTATCTACCTTCGGACCTTCAGGCCTTCAGAGCTTCAGCCCTCGAATTAGGGCCCCGAACGTGTCTTGGTCTTGATGTAAGCCATCGAATGAAATGCATCCTGCTGTCTTATCTTACAGTACACTCGGTCCTTCATTCCAATCATCAATCAACTCTTTCTAAGTTCCTTCCATATCTTTTGTATATAGCTCTGGTTCATACTTCGAGAACTGGTCCACAGAAATCCTGGGGCTATTATACCCGCGGTACGGAACGCCCCAAAAGGGCCTCCGTAGCACAAAGGCAGTGCATCGCTTTCCTATTTCTGGTTGAGATCCCTAGGCGAAGGTTGTGGGTTCGATCCCCACCGGCGGTTGGACTTTTTTCGTCTTCTTTTGTTGTGTACAGGTCCTATGCAGATGTTTCAGAGAACTAAAACATACAATTGTATGCACGTATAGCTCAAGCAAAACACCATGGGTTCCGTTGTTGAAACGTTGAAAGTCCACGTCGATTATTCAAACAAATTTAGGCTCCTGGTATCTTCCCGAGTTCTGAAGGGCTGAGGATCGGTGCTCTTCTTATTTTCGCAATATCACCGTCAGACCTATGTAGTTGGGCATGCACACACACGAGAAGGGACGTCAGGTCGGTTGTTTATAGGATCAACAGACCCGGAGTCGCATGTCATTTCGTGATTCGTTCGGGAGTCGATCCGCGTCCGGGCGGACACGGATCGGAACGGAAAAAATGGCCAGCACAGCAAACAGATCGACTCGTTTCTTCACCTAGACCTCATCTAGATTCTAGACGACTGCCAATGTCCTCCCCTACCCTCGGAAAATGGGATGCCAGGTACGTGGTCGTACTCTCTCTCCCTCCACACTCTACCCGATACTCATATTGTCTAGGTTTGTCGGGCCTGTTCCCCATGACCTTAGTTACTACTCCAAGTGCATGCTGGGCGGCGCGCTGGCCTGTGGTGTCACACATGCTGGTATCACCCCCCTCGATGTCGCGAAGTGTAACATGCAGGTTTGTGCCTCAATGCAATCCTACTGGCCTTGGGACAATTTTTTTTTTCCAGGTCAATCCTCTCAAATACAGCGGTCTCTTCCCCACCATCCGTGTCCTTTTGAAAGAGGAGGGTAAAAACGGTATCTGGAAGGGTTTCGGGCCCACCTTCGTCGGCTACTCGCTCCAGGGCATGTTCAAGTACGGCCTCTACGATGTATTCAAGGACACCTACATGAACCTCGCTGGCGAGGAGATGTCCAACAAGTACAAGCCCGCCATCTGGCTCGCCGGCTCCGCCTCCGCCGAAGTCTTCGCCGATATCGCTCTCTGCCCGCTGGAGATGACCAAGGTCAAGATCCAGACCAGCCAGAACGGCTCTTTCCCCACCGGATTCGGCTCCGCCATCGCACAGATGCGCGCAACGAGCGTCGAGACGCGCTTCCCCTTCGGCTCTCTCGTTCCTCTTTGGTCGCGCCAGGTATGTGTCTCGAACCTTAACAATATGCCATCTCCGTTGACCATACGCGCAGATCCCGTACACCATGGCCAAGTTCTTTTTCTTCGAGAAGATCGTCCAGCTGTTCTACACCCACGTCTTCACCGCACCCAAAGAGACATACAGCAAGACCACCCAGCTCGGCGTCACATTTGGTTCTGGTTACCTCGCCGGTGTTGTCTGCGCCATCGTCTCGCATCCCGCCGACACCCTCGTCTCCCTGCTCGGCAAGGCGGAAAACAAGGGTAAATCTGTCGGGACCATTGCCTCCGAGGTTGGAATTACCACCCTTGCAACTAAGGGACTCGGCACCAGGGTGATCATGATTGGTGCGTACACCATCTCGCATATTTGGCATCCTTGTTCAATGTCCCTTAGGTACGCTCACTGGGTTCCAATGGTGGATCTACGACTCTTTCAAGAGCGCCATGGGATTGGGCACGACGGGCGGCAAATAGTCGCGAGTCGATCCAAGTTCGTTTTCCTCTCATGCCATGAACGTTTGATTGACATCATCCCAGAATAGAGGCATGCATGCATACTATTCTACTCACTTGTTTTTCTGTCTCTTCTGCGCCGTCTACATAGAATGGAACCTTAATGCGCTGAGCAATGAATCTCATGACCCCACCTCGCAGTCCGCCGTGATCGCAGCGCGTGCAAATCTGAGCAATGTTACAAGTCGGCGTCTACAACTACACGTCGAGACGATCGAAACCCGGAAGCCAGCGGTTCGATCAGCCACTGGTTTCCAGGCGCCAATTTGTGGATCCCTTGCGCCAAGTATATTACTGGAAACCACAGGTCACTGAGCGACCGGAAGGGTCGGTCCGGCCGGAAAATACGGTATTATAAAAGAAATAGCAGTAAGAAGGGTCGAACCCGCAACCAAAGAATACACATGCACAGCAGAAAACAAGGAACTTTACCACTCGACCAAGAGCTACATGTTACAACAGGGCAAGCCTAATGGTAAGTCACGCTAAGGCTGTCTCTGCCTATCATGATCAGTATAATCTGTTAGCTCGTAGTCCTCTATGTTCCGCCTAGGCGAGCAACTGTATGTCAGAATTTCGCAGATATCAAAATGATTATAAATCCAAAAGAATATCCAGTATGTGCCAGAATCGAGCTGTTGACCTGAGTGGCAGTCCTCCAGAGTCGGAGTCCAGTGTGGGATATCAGCCCGTAGTATCCTGTACCTGTATACCACCACTGCAGCACCAAAGAAACAGATACATTAATACTCTGGGGGTCTTAATTACTTCAGTCATAGTCCAACCCAGCCCAACATCCATGTCTGAGGACACTGAGCTGACTCGGAGCCCTCAATCATAATGTGACTTCGGCTTAGAGTCCGAGCAGATCACGCATCATTGTCGGATCAGATGCACGTGCCCGCTCATTGTCGCTCAGTCGATGGATCGCTGGTAATCAACGGTTTGACTAGCTGCCTCAAGTGATATACTTAGCGCAAGGTAACCACAAATCAGCCACAAGGCAGCCACAGATACAAAAGCAGTAATCAGTGATCTCATTTTCCAGCTGGTTTCCGGGTTTCGATCGTCTCGACGTGTAACTATTGGGCCTTTGCCTTTCCTTTTTTGTTCTCACGTGAACCGCCCGCCAACCAGGCTGCAGAGAAGATGAAGAATCCTACGCTCGTGCTGATGGCACCGGCGTAATACGGCCATGCAGCGCTGAGAAATCGCGGATAACCATCGTGGCGAGGAGGAACGACGGCAACAGTTGTCGAGCTGTGTAGATGCGTCCATCTGGGCAACATCAGAGTCAGGCCCTGGCATGTAGAAGTGAGACCGACCCTTTGCGTTTGTAGTTGATAACAAATTTGAATACTCCATGGCGATCCGGAGCGCGGAATGTAACAGAATACTTGCCAGGTGAGCCAGGTACCGCCGGGAGAGCCGTGCGGATATGGGGATCGAGCATCGTGAACTCCAACTGCATGTCCTTGATGCCGGAGTATGGTTCCCATGTCGAGGTTTTGGGGTTAAAGCGCGAGATTCCGGCAGTGTAGACCTATTCGATGTTAGGAAAGGACCATCGGCACGAACGTGCAACGCACGATATTGTCGTTGTTGGTATATTGTTCCAAGGGTGTCGTGGAGTTGACAAGATGGTGTGTAGTGCTGTCGATGCGGAGCACGAGGGACTCCTGGAAGGTCCATGCAGTGAGGTCGCGCGCGAACTTCGCGTTACCGGACTGGACGCCCTTGGACACTTCCTTCTTCATGAACTTGTCGCTGAACATATCGGTCCCGCCCACCCAGGCCACGCGCGCGCCTCCGACCGCTTGGAAGCCTGTCACCACACTAAGCTGGCTACCTGCCCAAAGACCCTCGCCGCCTTTCTCGGTCGCGTCGACGAGAGCGTCGGCGCCACCCTCCGAGTCGGCGGCGAAGCTCTCTGCCGGCGCGTTCAATATCGGTACAAGCAGAGGGTTGCTTCCGAGCGCGTGTGCAACTCCAGAGAACCATATGGGGGACATCTTGGGCGACAAGATGAGCGAGGACGCGGGTGCGGCAATCGGGATCACGGATGGTGAGTCCTTGCGCTCGGGAAAGAACGAGACCAAGGGCGTATTGGGTGGCGGGAGGATAAGAGAGAACTCGGCTGCCAGGGAAGTCATTGGTGTCTGCTTTTGAGACAGGGCGATGAGGAGGTTTGAACCGCCAGACAGAAGCGCGACGAGGGCCTGCGGCGTAATATCTTTGGCGAAGTCTGGGCATGGTCAATAAAGTATGCCCAATCGTGTTAGGAGAACACTCACTTTTGGATTCCGATGCCAGGATGATGATGTGAGAGAAGGCTGGGACATCATGCTCAACCACAGCTGGTTTCTCGTCCTTGGGCCCCCGGAAAGTAAGTTCATATCCTTGCTCTAACCAAGCGAACGTTAACCAATGCCGCACATACACACGGCCGACGCACCTCTAAGGCCGTCAAAGAAGAGGGTGAACTCCTTCTGTTGGGCTTCCTCTACAACAACCAGAACAGAATCTCCATCGCTGGATTTGGCATGTAGAAGGCCTGCTAAACTCAGGAAAAATAGCGCGAATGTGTAGAATGAAAGCATGGTCCAGGAGTGACAGCCAGTAGACGAGAACGAAAGTTCGACGCCAATAAATGAGGGTTAGCTTTCCGTGTTCGGGTTCCACGTCGGCGGTTTATTTTGAGAGACTCAGATACTATAGTGATGCTGTCACGTGCACGCTTTGGCTCCGTGGTCCGTGGAAAAAATAAAATAGATATTCACAGTGCAATCTGTGAACTATCCAAGCCCAGCGCATGTAGAAATAGATTTACATTCGCAAGTTTCGTCCGCCTTTCATCCTCGTCCGCCACCCAACCCTTGTTCGCACTCAAGACATTCTCGAGTACCTTGTCGCGGAGGGATGTCACCAGCACTTGATGCTGCTCCGGAACCGCCTGCAGCGCCAGCGCAGCCAAGAACTGCCACACTGGCTGGTCAATTATGTCGATAGCCAGTGCAGCACTAGTCGGATGGTGCGCTTGCAAAGTAATTCGACTTGAAGGAAACAGCGACAGGAAATGCGGCGTGATGAGAACGAAGAATTGGTCGAATACGGCTTGCCTGCAGTCAGTGCATCAGCTTATTTGAAAATCTCCCAAGAAAACGGATCTTACCATTGCTCGAGAGACGCGCCTGCTGTCATAGGATCTACAGGTTCCGCGCCGGTCCCCCACGCCTGCTTGATGACCTCCACCCGACTTAAAAACAATGTGAGCAGGGCCAAGCCGGGCTAAAAGTTATATTTAGTGATCCCACACATCACATTTGAAGTTCAGGTGTGCTCACCTTGGTTTTCGCAACATTCGCG